GTTTTGAGTATAAAATACACACTTTAAAAAAGAGGTATTACTCTTCAGTAAACAAAAGATTATGTTAAACTTGAACAATACAGTATTTTGACGAGACTAAATAGTCCAATCTTATCCGCAACTGTAAACGAGCCTTAAGTGGCAACCAAACATTGGAATGGCTTAATAGAATATATGTATACTAGATAAAAATATATAAAATATGTTATGGTGATTACAATGTCAATTTGTTAACCCAAGTTTGATAATGTGGCAGACCACAAATTTGTGTGCAGAGCATGTGAGTATGCCACTTATAATCAATATATTTTAAAATGATATATAAGTAGTGTAATACAACAATACAATATTTATTGTTAGACAGCACAAAAAACGGTCAGTTATATTCTTTTTTATAAATATGCATACTTTCAAACTAAATTTTTATACTCTAAATGAAATATAAATAAAAAGGATATTACATAGGATAAATAATTTATTTTTAAATATACGGGTCGACCTGCTTAACTCTTAGGCCGCATCACACTATAGTCTTTGTAAAATGTTTTGAAATCATACAACAAATTTGCAATATATGAGAGAAAAGATAACTCCTTATTTTGCTTGGTGTAGGTTCTGGTTCCTGCATGACTAAGAAAGATCACCCATGCTGGGTTCTTAGCTTCAGTCTTTGCCGATGTGTGGTCACCTTTCCAAGTTTAGGTTCTTTTTTTTCTACTTAGGTCGCTATTTTTAGCGCGCCTCTCTTCCCCTACCTTCGGGGTTGTTGGGTTGTTCTTGTGAACTCTTTATTTGGTTGTTTATAATATTCTACCGTTTTCGNAAAAAAAAAAAAGCTAATGAAATTATCCTGAATTAATTAGAAAAATAATTTATGCATGAAAACTAAAGGTGTGATTGGATATCAATTCAATCTAAAACAAAATCAATCAAAACTTAAATTTAACTGAACTCTAACTCGACCATACTATTATTAATATAATTAAATAATACAAAACAATCATCCTTATATATCATATCAATTTTATTTCACTATGTATACACTCACAAAATTATAACTACCTATCATTTTCAATAACTTTTTTTCTACTTTTACATCAAATCTTTAACCATTATATTTTAAATATTATTTTAATATAACATGAAAAACCACTCAACCACTTTCCAAAATTAACTAAGGTTAACAAAATAAGCAATCAAAATCAAATCAAATTCACATCCAATCTCGACTTGGATTAGCCTGCTGGGTCGGTCTGAGACCTGCACTTGTTTGTGCATAAATTGACCTGCTATAAACTCGTGCATTGATTCAATCATTGATCCAGAGGGTTCAACAATATAATTTTTTATTATTTCTAAAATATAAGCTATTTCTGTATAATTTTATGGTAAATATTTATAAAAGATAGTATTATTATGAATTTGATGTAAATTATTTGTTTTATCATTTTATTTTCATTTGTAAAAAAATAATTATTTTTTCATATAAATTTGTACTTTTTAAACTTAATTATTCGGTTCTAAAAAAATTCTGATGACCCGAGTATTGAATCAGTGACCCCTGACTCGGAGAATAGTCCCGCTCAATGTCTAATCCGCATCCAAAAACATGAACCGAAACCAAAACCAATCCATTGACCTTACAAAAATGTTCATTAGATAATCAAACAATCAATCGTGCTATACAGTTTTGCTATGAAGCCAACAGTTGACTTTATAATGGCGCTAACCTTCTATATCCAATAAGTAAACCATACCATATTCGCTAATTATTTAAATTATGGTATGATTTACTAGTTGTATATATAAGGTTGACTCCACTATAGACCCAACTGTTGGCTTCATAGCAAAACTGTCGTACTATATCAATTATGAATTATGCTATAGTGACATAAGATATAAAATTTGACATATGCATTATATCATTTTTAAAATTATCAATACATCATTTTTAGCCATCACCAGTGTCAACCAATTATGTAAAAGTAGCTTTATCCATTAACTATAATCAATAACACAAATTATACCTTTAATTAAGGAGTTTAGGAAAATAACTATTTATTCAACCTTGAATTTTGATAGTAGTAACTTTGTTAATCATGAATCTAATATTTTCTCTTCGACAAACACAATTAAATCTGTCAAAATACAATAGCCATTGTTTTTTATCACATAAAATTATAGTTTTTTCTTTAAATCATACCTCGAAGATGCTAATCAGCTAGTGCAGTTGTGCTTATTGTTGCTTAAAATCTAAAAAGTAAGAATTAAAAATTAAAAACCTAATAATCTGTTGGTGGACTCAAACCTATAATTGAGGGTTACTGCTAAAGATACCCCTAAAATTTGAGCCCAGGTAAACGAATATTCCGCCCTCGAATCATTCGCAGTGGTGAGGGACCCACATGGATAGGGCGGTGTCGTGCACGCGAGCGCAAAGCGACTTGGGTAAAGATTGTTCTGTGGCTGTGTGACCCTTTGGAGAGCCCGAAAGGCCAATACAAATCTGGTCCCCGCGTCGTACGGTGTCGGTGGTATTGGCCAGCATTTGAGATCACGCGCCGTTAGCAATAACTCTCAACACGTGAATATTCCATTCTAATACAAATTTTATCCACAAGAAAGTTTTTAGAAAATCTATATATATAATAAGAATTACATTTACAAAAAATTGTAGCCAAAAAATAAGTAAGAAGTTAATGCAGCCCATAAATAGTAAGTTTTATTATTTTTCTTATTTTTTTTAAAAAATATACAACATTAAATGCTACCTTAAATTTTGGGGTTTAGTTCATTTTATTATTTAAAAAATCCGGCTAAGATTTATTAAGTGTGTATGCTTTTATTTTTATTTTTTTCTTAGAAACAACGAACAACATTAAAATCTAGGTCTCTATATTTTTAAAATCTCAATTCAAAATATAACAAAAGTTTTAGAATCTTGATCTTTATACTTGTGCCATTAAAAAAAATATTGAACGCTAAAAATATTCTTTAAATTGCATAATCAATCAATTAATCTTAATTTTTTAAAAATTACAATGTTATTTTTTATTAATATGTATAAAGTAAAAATAATTAATTCATCTTTAGATATATTATTTATAATCTTAGTATACTATCATTTGGTGTAGACATTTATTATATGAATCATAAAGTATTTAATTTATTTTATAAAATTAAATATATTTAAAGAAAATAAAAATATTTCTTCAGGATCAATTGGGTGATTGAATTAGGGATAGTCAAAAAAACTTGAGTGAATTACTTTTATATTGAAAATATTTTATTACGTGAATGTGATGTAGTCCAAACTTCAAATATTCGTATTAACAATACTTTTATGACAACATGTTTAATGATTTATAAATATTTATATATTATTTTATTAATATTTATGTGAATTAAATAATATTTTATTATAATATTTATTAATGTACGTACAGTAAATATAAGGTTTGCAGGACTGGACCGTCATCGAAACGATCAAGCTATTTTATTAAATCATTTGTGATTTGTTTAGATATTAATTTATAAACATTTTAATATATATATATATATATATATATATGTAGTACTTTTTGTAATAAATTTGAATAAAATGTGTTACTTAGATATCTAAACAATTCATAAATTTAAATGTTTAAACTAATTGATAAATAATTTAATTTATGGTAAATGATGAGATTAATGAATGGAGGGAGCACAAAACTCAAAAGTGTACATGTTTGTGTTTACAAGATAATCTTGATCGGAATTTGTAAATGTAATCGAAAAATCTTTAACGTGCTTCAACTTAATTTGGCATACAAAAATATTAACGAACACTTATAATTCTGTTTTTCAAGCCATAATGAACACAAACTAATATGTCTAACAACAAGCGATTATCAAACCATACACAATGAATATGATATTAAAAAATTGCAAAATCTTTAATATGTCATATGTAGTTAGTTGACACATCTTAATTATGTTCTAACATCTTAATGTTTTAACAAATCCAATCCCATTTTTTTTTATATACTTACACTCCTACTCAAGCTTGTATGCAATCTCTCAATATAAGATGAAATTATGTTCTCAAAAATGTAAAATAATTACATTTTTGTAGGGCAAGCAAAATCAATTTGAAACCAAAAAATCAATTGCAAACGTGCGACTTGGTTCGACTCGGTCTTATAGTATGAAATTTTTCGATTCAATTTCACTTTTATTTTTTAAACTACAGTGCGGTTGATCACTTATATTTTTCACAAATTTGACTTTATTGAGGTCTACACTGACTCAAACAAAATTGAATACAAAGATATATAAAAATCGAATAAAAAATCAAGTCGAACATTTCGATGCAATTTGGTTCAATTATTTTGATGTACCAAATAAAATTTCAGTTCAATCTAAATTCTTTTAATTTTAGTGTGGCATTGCACTTCGATCATTTTCTTGATGAATTTAATTTTTCCTTTTTTTTTCGTTGTTGGTGCCATTTTGCATTAAAATTCATTGTTGGTTATCTCGACTTATACTAACCCAAGTCCTTTTTAAGATTCTAAAATAAAATATGCAAACGAAAATTCTAGAAAAAGAAGAATGAAAAATTAAACACACACAAGTGCACAAGCACAGAGCCAGTGATGATAAGCTTGAAAAAACTGAGAGGCCACAATTCCAAGAAAAGCCAACAAAAAAGACAAATGGCCCCAAAAGAGCTGTACAGAGAGTCAGAAAGAGCCAAGAAAATAAAAATAAAAATAAAACTAAACTAAATGGTTGATCTTATCCAAATAAAAGTATAAAATTAAAACCCACACAACACTCCATTTTCGTCAAAAGGGCCCCACATAAGAGAATCGCCTCTCGAATATTCAAATCCTCTCTCCCCAAAAGTTTTCTCTCTAAAAAACAAGCCAACAAAAACTCTCAAAAGATTCGTCTGTACGCGACGGCCCGACCTCGGCATCCTCACGCACCCTTTCTTCTTCTTCTTCTTCTTCTCTTTAATCCTTAAAGAAATCCCAAATAAAAAAAATTGAATCTTTGTTCTGTTCTCTCGTCCTCTCTTGACCTCAACGCAAATATATACATACATATCTGTGCGTGCCATTACAAGATCCACTTTTTCCCTTGTCTAATTCTTGGAGAAAAAGGTGAAAGGGGAAAGCCCAAGAAAAACGGACTGATAAAGTAAGAATCTTTATTGATGAAGATGGCAATTAGTAGCCATAGCCACAGTATTTTACCAGAGAAAGTACAGAGTTGTCAAGATTATATTCAGGCTTTGGAGGAGGAACGTTGCAAGATTCAAGTTTTCCAACGTGAACTCCCTCTTTGTCTTGAGCTTGTCACCCAAGGTAATTTCTCTTTAATGCTTAATTCTCTTTTTTTGTTTCATTATTCGTGCATAAGAATTATAAAAATGTGATCTTTTTTGTTACAAGAGCGTGTATGTATCCAGGGGTTTGCAGATTCTTGTGTTTTTAGCTTTTCACTGTTTCCATTTTGTGTTCTTGTAATTTCTCTGTAAATGGGTTTTGTAGATTTTGGTATTAGAGCTGCAGTACTTTATTCAAGATCCCTTTTTGCTAATGTTGAAAATTTTCACATTTGTATACTGCTTTATGTTTTTATTGTTTTGTTTTTTGAGCAGCAATTGAGTCATGCAAGCAGCAGTTATCAGGAACAACAGAGTGTAATCAAAATGGCCAATCAGAAAGCTCTGAGGAGACATCAAGTGATTTGCCAGCTTTTGAAGAATTTATTCCCATCAAGAGAGCCTCATCTCTTTCTGAAGATCGTGAGGAACAAGAAGCCAAGAAACAAAAGATGGATGCTGATAATGGTGTTTGTTGTGATTTAGATGGTAATAATGGTGGTGAGAAGACTAATATCAAGAAATCTGATTGGCTTAGATCTGTTCAGCTCTGGAATGAAAACCCAGATCTAACATCCAATGAGGTGATTTTCAGTTTTGCTGTGTTTTGGTAAAATTAACTAAGTATTTACTTAAAAAATTGAGGAAAAAAAAAAGGAAATGAAATCTTTTGGGTTTCTGATTTATTGTGAGAGTTGAAAAGGCAGCAGCTTCTAGAGTTTTAAAATTCAGCATCTCTTTTGAGACTTTTTCATGTTTAAAGCACATTCAAGTTTCAAAAATTGCAACTTTTAATCAGTTTTTACAGCTTCTAGATGCAAGGACTACCAAACTTAGGTAAAATAAAAATTTCTGAAGACTCTTCATGAATTTATATTTTAATATTTGGGATTGGTAAATTGCTTGACAAAATTCAATCTTTTTTATTATTATTTATGAATTCTCCTTTTGATTTTGACTTTTGTGATGAATTAGGATATACCCAGAAAAGTTGAGGTGAATAAAGATGGTAGTAATGGTGCATTTCATCCATTCAAGAAAGATAAGGCAGCCACCACTTCACATAAGCCGCCGGACAAAACTCCGGTGCCGCCAGCATCCACCAGCTCGACGGCCGGAACTGGTGGCGGTAATAATAAGAAGGAAGAGAAAGAAGGGAATTCTCGAAAGGCAAGAAGATGCTGGTCGAATGAGTTGCACCACAAGTTCTTGGAGGCCCTTAATCAGCTCGGTGGTTCACATCGTATGTATAGAATTAGACCTTTCTTTTTTAAAAAATCTAGATAAAACGTGATTATCTAATTAATGATATATACCTGTAATTGTAAATTGTAATTACATTTTGTCATTTATTTGGTTTGATAATGCAGTTGCTACACCAAAACAAATTAGGGAGTTGATGAAAGTTGATGGGCTAACAAATGATGAGGTTAAGAGCCATTTGCAGGTTTGTTGTGCTCATACTTTTAACAGTTTCTTTTTGTTTTTCATTTAATTTATTGGACTTCTGAACATTGTTTAGTTTCATAAGAGTAAGGTTGAAAGTTGGTACAATCTAATTTGGTACAATATAAAAGTAGGTTAAGTGTTGATGCATTTGACTAATGTCTGATTGAGAATATAGCATCTAATGAATTATAACCTTTGTCTAATGTTCATGGTATCAAGTTCTTCTGGAATTTTTGTGGGTGCAACTTTCATCTAAGAGAAAAGAATACATATTTCGATATGCGATTATTGATGCTTGAGCAAGAAGATTGTATTAGCTTTAAACCTTGAGCAAGACGATTGTATTAGCTTTAAACCTTCTACTTTCTTCGACCTTTACATTGTCCATTGCTGTCTACATTAAGATTTTCCTATGGTTCTTGCGGATATTTCAACAAAAATGATATTCGGCTTTTAGTTTAAGAAAAAGAAAACTAAGTAGCGTGGTACAATTTCCAAATGTCATATTATGTTATTGGTTCCCGCATAAATATTTTACAGCCAAATAGCAAATATAAAGATGAAATATAGTCACTTTTTGTGAAAATATGAAATAATAGTCATTTACCCTGTGAAATGACACAATTATCCTTACTACCAAAAACCATATATGGAAATCTGGGATCCAGAAACAGTTTCTAAAATTTCACAGGGCTACATCGCTCTTAGTTCATACTTCCACAAAAGTGACCAATTTTTATCATTTTAAAAGTTACATGGCCATTTATTGATTTTACTACTAAATTTAATCTTGCATAACATTTTTGTTCGACTTT